CATACTATCTACAAAAAGAATAATAGCAAACCCTAAGATATTCGTAAATATAACATTCTAACTGAAATATCATGAATAGTCCGTTTCGTAAAAATCCCTTTTCTTCATTGCAGTCAGGATATACGAATGTTATATCTTCAAAAGTGAAGATGTCACTCTTAGTAGTGTCCAATCAGAACAGTACTTTCTCTACACTGCAAAGAATTTTGGTTTAAGTAAAGGTGAAATGACGGCAAAATAAGAGGCTGTTTTGTTCCACATTTGCGCTCTGTATTGTTGTCAAATAGTATGCTACAAATCCCCTCACTGTTCTGATGTAGAAACATTTGAGGCCCGTACGTAGTAATTACAATAAAAAGAAGATTAAATGGTTTCCGCGTTGAACACCATTTATATTTTTCACCCATTTTAAACAACTATGTAATTGCAGATAACAGGCGTTATGGCAAAGAGTGTCCTCGTTGAAGACTTGAGAGGTAACAGTTTGACGAATATCTTCAACAAAATATTCACATTTTATCTTTATTCACTACGATTGATACTTTACTTCAGAATACAGTTGTTATTGTATATAAAAGTGCATTATAAAATGTTTATGTCAATTATGCTCTGTATCATCTCTTTCAGGAGATGACGTTATTAAAAAAATGTTGACATTACAACATGCGAAAAAATGTACATTTTCGTGTCTCGGGACAATAATTGAGTGATAATATTCAACGTGTGTGGCTATTGAGCGTGAACAGAACATTCTAAACGATAAACATGATGCCATTTATATTCGAAGAATAAATTGAAGTGTGCAGGATCCGTCCCCTCGTTGTCAGTAAGTGGTTTTCATCAAAAGATGTCTAGCAGCTTTGTTGCATATTCTTGTTGTATATGTTGAGATTAGACAGAAGTAAGGCAAAGAATAACGTTGTAAATTTGGGGCCTTTTAAGGACAAATGCTGCGTTATATTATCGTGTTTAGTCTGCATTAAACCCAACAGCACACACTGGTTATACTCTGCTATGTTTTTTGTCGATAAAATAACAAACACTTAAATTGTCGAAAATGAGCATTTATTCTAAATGCCAGGAATCGAACATATGTATACATCTTTGTGTTGATTTTTGTAATAAGGTGTACAAAGAACCAAAAAAGATGGGGCTTGCTTCAAAATAAACGCCACAAACTTGAACTTAAATATTACCATATTTCTGTTCAAGTGCCCCACTCCAGAGTTGTCGATAACATAACAAACACTTAAAATGTCGAAAATGAGCATTTATTCTAAATGCCAGAAATCGAACATATGTATACATCTTTGTGTTGATTTTTATAATAAGGTGTACAAAGAACCAAAAAAGATGGGGCTTGCTTCAAAATAAACTTTAAGGACAAATGCTGCGTTACATTGTATGGTTTAAGATTTATCTTCCTTTTACCACCAAGTCTTTTATGTTAACAGTAAGTGCAATATTTATGTTTTCGCTATAGGAATTCTTGTGTATCGTTTTTGTGAATCATCATTAAATTTAATCAGCCAGTAATTGAAGTGCTAATTACCATTCATAAGTTAGTTTCAAGCATTTCTCTTTTTCTAAAAAAAAAAAATCAGGGACTGAAAACAAAACAAGTTACAAAACTATGAACCAGGTAACCCGGAAGGTTATTGATTTCTGCACCACATGGTTACACCATTCATCCCTCGTACAGGAAACGATGCAGGCCACTAGCTTTCTCAGACACTGAACTCTTTTATTAGGTAGAACTGCAATTTGAAAAAGTATGGCAATTGTAAATATTTCTTCCATGTACTTTCGGAATACTGAAATGTAAACGAAATCGTAATTTGAACTCAAAATAAATGAAACTGTGACAAAATATGAACAACGGAACGACTGACACGATGACCTTTGAAAAGTACAAGAAGAATAAGACAGGTGTTACTTTAGGGAATATAATACATTTGAAAATGCGGTGAGTTATATCAATAAAGGAACCGCCGGTCCATTTCAATTTGATTTCGAATTGGAATAGAAACTTGTGAATATCTCATGCTGATGAAAAAGTGATTTTGGATCCAGACGCAGTCAAAGGTTCATCATCCTCGGTGTAGACCCATGTACTGTACGCAATGGACAATTGGTGTTCATTTACTAGGGCTCCTGTACTTGAAGGTTATTAAAGAGAGCTCATCAAAAAGGTTATATTTGGTCTCATTCAGTGTTAAGTCGTGCATTGTTAAGCAGAACCGTCTTAAAGTGTTCGAGTTCGAAGATGGTTGCCTTATACAGGTACTTAAAACACATTGACCTTAATGTGTTTTTCGAAAAAAGAACAGTTTTATTTAAAGTGTGGTATATCTTGCAAAGCTAACGGATTAAACGTATCAGAACAAAGTGCACAGTTTCTTAGCTGTACCAGCATTGTACGTAAGATGATAAATATTTGATTACGACCGAAAGGAAACACATTAGTGTGTCGTCTTACATAGATCTTCTTACGTAATTGTCATAGTGCTTTCTGGAAAAGTGCTTTATTTTGCCGCAGTTTCAAGTCAGTTTACAATTAGGAGATATCTTCCTGTAATTTAAGATATGCGAATGTATATTAATGGTTTTTCGTCTTTTAATGCTGACTTAGTTTATCAACGATGGCTTTTATGATATAACATTATTTGATCTGTCTTAAAATACTCTCCAATGCAGTATTAATGTATTTATTTCAGCAGATATTTCATTATCAAATAAATTCAAAAGCTAAAGTGTACTTGATTCATCGAACAATTCTCTAGCTGGTTTCAAAAAGAAAAAAATCAATGAATCTCAGTGTTCTTCTGTGTGGGGACATCACAGTTATCAACTTTTGAAATGCTACCGTGTTGCAATACTTGGGGTCTTTATGATTTTTTCTCCTCACACTATCATACCAATTTTAGCGGGATAACTCATTCGTGATCACTTGACATTATATACAGTCGGGATAATGTCAACTCAACAACTAAACGATAAATACATCCCTGGATAATCACTTGTATATCAGACCTATCCCTCGAATAATCAAAAGTGTATTAGACCTATCCCTGAGATTATGAAAAGTATATCAGATATATCCCCAGGATCATCCAAAGTATATCAGATAAGTATTTCAATGAAAGTATCGTGCCAAGGACGTATTTCTAGAACAGTACCCAACATCATATTGATACATTAGGGTGAATTAGATATATTTCACCATAGACATACGATTCAGCATTAAGAGGGAAAGTACTGATACACTTTCGCATCAGTTTAGTCGTTGTGGATAGTGCCGTTATTGGTTATGTGCGATTGTTAAGGTCTTGTCTTCAGTATCCTTTTATGTTGCAACATCTGGGAAGGAGATATCCTTGTTCGGGGACACTAATTGGATTTACAAAAGACGACATCTCATTATGCAAGGGATGCGAAACATTTCATTAAATAATGTCAATAATCCTTTTCAACCTTTTCCAAGCCTCAATGGTTCGGGAATGAGTTTCAGAAAAGTGTCTATATATTGATGAGTATGTTGGTTTATGTCGGCAGCAGCAGATAAGATATTACATAATGTCAGTTAAGTTTGTGTAGCTCTTCCACAGTCGTAACTCACTGCTATAAACATTGCATATATCTCGTATAATTGTTGACGTTATCATCGAAACATCTAAATGGCAAGGTTTTACTTCATGCTGTAATTCATACGACGGTAAAATATCACTTAATGATAAAATGATGATCAGTACCAGACTTACAACGTTGATCAATGAGTATCCATAGACAAATGTTCCAAGACGATTGGAATGGACAATATGGCTATTTCAGTATGTGTACTTATCTGTTATAAATTATCTCCAGAGTAATAATCTTCATATTAATGTATCTCGTATAGGGTAAATACCTAATTTGGAACAAAGATAAGTTTGTTTCTATCATTCGTCAACGATTACTCGATAAAGACATGATAACGAGGATATAAAGACCCTCATGTTTTTGAAAATAGTGCATATCACCTTTCGTATGTCAGAAAATGATTTTCAAATTTCGTTTTTTCCCTTTTGCTGTTGAAGTATATCCACTAAACGTGAATATATGTGTAATAAGTTTTAATGATTATACAATTTTATCACGAAAATAAGGGACTCTTGAATTACACCTTTTTAGTTATTCCGCGAAACATTAAACCAACGGGGAAACAATTCCATAACTTTTTAAGTTTATTACCTACTTGCTGAGACACTTTTATATCAGAAGACAATGTTTCACCTCTGTGGTAACCCAATTTGGTAAGATATTGGATATCCTTAATTCACGGCCACTCTATTTTTGTTTTGTCATTAGACCAATTTATCAAATAAATGTTGATGCCAGCAAATGGATTGATATTTTTTCTCGTCACAAGTGTCGGATTGACACAAAGGGCTATCGGTGACTTCCTGCAATTGTTCAAAACTGATTTCGTGAATTACTTACTCTGGGAATTAATTTAGGAATTTTTCGATTAATTGTTTTTGGTGTTCGACTTGTGGGTGTGACTATTGGAGTACAATTTTACCATCACGGAACCCCTGCTAATACAATATGATTAATACATCTTTTATTGGGATCCATTTTTAAAATAGACCACTGATATTAAAGGGAAAACTATTTTTTAACGAAATCTTTTAAAAATTGGCAATTATTTGATATATATACCGATGGTGTGGACGATATGGTGCGGAGTTTTATTTCGTATGATGTCGTAAAAAGTAATAAATTAACTTATTTTAACTTGTCATCTATTTCAATTCAACTAATAAATAACATCTTATTGATTTTTTTGCTGGATTTTATTTTGTCGTCTCTTCGTACAAATTTTAAGTCCCGATTTTGCCCCTAAATGTTGACGCAATGCCACATCGCTAATAGATGAAACATGGTAATAAGTTAAACAGTTCCAGTAGTTTTGATTCTCTATTTATGCTGTGTGTATATATACCTTTGTTATGTTACAGGTCGTGCCATACCTTTTCTCGAGCTTTTGTTCATCCATGCATCTATCCTCATCATGTTGGGCGTCAGTTTCGGGAGGTACTATGCTGTGTGTCGCCCCCTACAGAGTTATTCTACATGTGGCCGAAGTCGAACGCTCGTCATGATGGCGTGCATGTGGGGAGTGGCAGCACTTTTTGCTATCCCGATGATCGTCATTGCCCATGTGGAGACGGCAACATTTCACCGGGACGCCTCAATAATCCAGGTGTGTCGAGCACACATCTTTCTTACCTGGCACTATGCTTACGTTATCTGCATCTTCTGTGTGTTTTTCGTAATTCCCTTCTTTGTCATGCTGTTTATATACAGCAGTATCATCCGTGGCGTACTAAAAGAATCAGCACACATCGAGGAAAACTCGAATTCAAAGAGCTTCCGACGTACCTCCTTGCGGAACCAGAGACAAATCGTGGGTATGCTGTTCGTCATTGTAGTGGTGTTCTTCCTGTGTACTCTGCCGTTACGGATTGTTATTTTCTGGTTTGCATTCACAGACACAAAACACATTCAAAACCTCGGTCTAGAAGGCTATCTCAACTTGGTATGGTGTGGTCGCATTTTTCAGTACCTTAACAGTGCAATTAATCCGTTTATATACAGTGCTTTCTCCTCGAAGTTTCGCTGGGCGTTTAAATACATTCTTGGTTTGAAAAAAAAGGAAGAGTTTTCATGGTCAAGGACAAGTCAACGCACGTTTGCTTCAACACATTACAGCTTCATGAAACAAAACAAACAACGGGAACAGAAAGAACAATATATGTAATTTCATATGTAGTGTCCCGTATGCTATTCATGTGTATATGTCCCGTTTAGCACTGTACCTTCGTGTTTTCCGTTTGACACCGCCTGTGGTACATTAATGTGATGTTACATGTAGCTCTGCATCTTCGTGTTAACTTGTTTTTCGTGAGACAGCACCTGGTGTAGGAGCCGTTTTTCGCCCTCTAACTTTGTGTTTTCTGTATGTCACACCTATTGTGTCTTTTTTGATTTGTGTTCCCGTATGTATCGTATGCCACCATTTGTTGTAGGTGTCGCGTGAAGCTGTTAGTGTATAGTCTTGTTGTAATAACTTGTTATCAGTTTTCCGTTTCATGAGACATCAATACAAGTTTCCTCAATTAACTTCAGTTTCTCCATATTTAAAGCACCACCAAAGCTAAGGACATATTTTAACTGAAGCTAGGGAACATTCGTGATACCAATGTCTGTAAATGGCAATCTTGACACGATCTAAAAGATCCATGTGACGGTATAACCTTTAAACTTTTGCCTGTGCTTTGTCAGTATTCCGACATTTCCTGATCAGTAACAGTATACATATATATAAGCTTGCGTTTTGTTATCGTTTAAAAAAATATTGTTGAAATCAACTGCTTAACAATATATCATATACATCACTGAAGATTCCTACGATAGTGAACATCATAACACAATGCTATTGTGTTTATGATAATCATGCAAATACAAGTCCGTTGAGATACCCGACAGCTGTTGATTGAGATGTATTATGTGACCTTAACATGTGATCATACATGATGCGTTTGTTGCATTAAGGGTTAATAAAATATATACTCGTGTTGACAAGTGTTGTTATCATTACCATTCATCCATCCTGTGTGTATGTTAAGTTCATCTTTCAAGACAAAAGGAGGTCGACCCTGCTGGTGGATCTTCCCTACCCCCGAGGTTTGATGTAGCTTTGGTGGTCACAGCTATCTGTAGTGTAGCTATAGCAGTGGCATGGTTCATAATTAACACACTTTACAGATTATTTAGTTTGCAATTAACCAGCACACCTCTAAATGTATAGATTAAGGGGTTTTATGTATCTCCCCTTCTGTTTCAACAGTAGTTTGGACAAATTGGAATTTTCAACTTTTTGGCCCTAGTATCACCGATGGTTGCTAGAAGGACGAACCAGCTGTAGTGTTCAGTGTGATTCATTTTTGACATACAATGTGCTGTATCTATTACCAAATATGAAAGGTGTAATTAGCTGTTTGTAACGTTTATCATCTATATCCTATATACAGTGAAACCTGTCTACTAACACTGGAGAAGGGACACATAAATAATAAAATGTTGTAATAGACTGGTAATGGGAATATAGTTGTAGAATGTTTCTAAATATATTTATATGCTGACCCGTTCAACGCTAGGACGAGATAAATGAAGTGACGTTGTTTCCTTATCAAAGACACTGCCGACCACAATTCTACGGTATTCCACAACGAACAAATACTTTCGTGTTTATTCATCTAAACAATAAGACATCATTATCCTGTTCATGTCGTGCAGACAGAAACATGAGTACGAGACTGTACATATATTTATAGATAATATCATATAAATTCCCAATTATCACATCATGTATTCTGTCATTAGTGTTTGAAATTTAACTAGATGCCTCTAGCGGCAGGGCGGTGTGGGGAAACAATATTGCTATTATTGTAATAAAATTTTCTTTCATAACACGATGTATATGTTTATATATTCGAAAGAGGATGCGGATACGGGATACTTTCTGGTGACATCAGACTTCAGACTTCAATCCAGTAAACATCCAGCACGCGTACACTGGCTGACTTGTTATGTTGCATTTGACATATCTCTACTTATTCATCGTGGTATAGTTGTTCTTAATCAATCAAAAGTATACAAAATGTACTATTTTGAAGCATGTTTGAGGTTTATGTAAGTTAATCAATTTTGCAATGACCAAATATCAAATATGAAATTTCACTGAATAAACTTGGAAGAAACATAATCTGATAAATAATTCACAGGGTAAAAAAACAAGACCAGTCAACTCAAATACACCACGTTAAAACTGAGAATATCATAACAATACAAGCGGAAGCATACAAGGTACACATAGTATGGTAATTCCTGTAATGTCAATCGTAGGAAGGTTTATATATATTGTCATTGTATATAGACAAGTGTGTAAATAAAACCCCACAGTTTGGCAGTACCATTGATTATGTCCATCAAGGGTTATAATGCATTACTTCTAACATCATCCCTACGACACTGTACTGTTTAGCACGCAAACAATACGTTTGATTAGCGACAAGTGGGGATACAGACTGTAGACTGTCTTGGCTGAAATTATTTACCCTGCGTTGTAATTTTTATGTGTAACAAAGATGATTTGAAAACAAATATGATATATGTTTGTTATATCTTTGACAAATGTATTGAAACCTATCGTGCCCTATCAATATCAATACAAGCACATGTATGCACTAAATTGGGTTGTGTAGGGGAGACACACAATCGGCATCGATGATTTCCCAGTTCATGGTAGCTTTTACTGTTCCTACATCGTGAAGATGTTCTGTGTCAGTCCTCAGTGTAAACATGTACTCTTTGTTTTACCCTTCACCAGACCATCATCCGTACCATGAATAATCCTGACAGATTGAAATGTGTAACGGACCGTTCATGTTGATTAAGATGTTTCGTAGCTATCCACTGTCTGTGTCTACTGGATCTGAAAGTGCACGCTCACTATGTAGCAGATCATAATTCAATACGGGCATTTAATCTTCGCTAGCAGAAACCCTATACGAAACCAGCTGTTGTCTAGAAGCCCAGCAGGTATTGACAGCCAGACTGCCTGCATCAGGACTTTCTGTCATGATTCACACTGTATCCATTGTACTACCTGCATTAAGTACAAAGATGATCCACTCGACACTAAAACAAATATTTTTCCATGCTTTTTGATTTTCTTATTTGGATAGTGAACTTGAAAAGTAGGGTATATCTTGGCTGTTCTTAAATACACATGAACACATTGTTTTTCTTTATAACAATCATTTCGGACCAACCATCCCATGCCTACGATACATAAAGCTGTCTTAACGCCAAAAGTTGGTCTCTTCAAAAATGTTTCAATAATAGATCATATCATAGGTGCTCTGTTGATTACTGTGTCTAAGTAAAAGTAACACTAGCATTTGATATTTTATCCTGTGACGCGATCTTAAGATTAACATAAAGCAGATTTGATCGCATGGTTTAGTTTGAGCATGAGAACAGTTTTATGAGTATGATTCCTAGTTGTGATCAGTAAGTTATATAGATGTGACGATCAAACAATGCAACTAGATCATGAAAATGTTTTCTTATATAAATGCTTCATGTCACTCAAGCGCCATGCGGACATCTGCAAATGGTCGATTAACAACCTGTATTACCTTAATATGGGTTATGTCATTTCCGCATTTTATTTTGTTACAATGCTTCGTAAAAACATGATTGCAATTTGACGTCATGTTTCAACAGCATTTAATATCCAGATTAAAAAAGGTCACGTGTTTGCCGAAAACAAAATGGTTTTCCCGACATGTTATGAAAGAAGCTAGGTTATGTATATCCTACTCTTTTTATTTCATTTGAAAATCAAACAAGTACAGTCGGTAAGCCTTGTGACCTCTGAAACTCTTATATAAACTTACAAGAAAGAACGTAATTTAATAACAAGTTATCCCTCGTTGCTAACATTTTGTTAAATACATACATCGAATAAACTGCATTGCATAACCCTATAAAAGTCCCAAAACAATCCAATACTAACCATATCAAGTCTAGCCTCCGTTTCCTTACTGTTTTTTTTTTTATAAATCAAGTTCAAAGTTTACAAAACGGTAATCTCATTTAAAGAAAAGTAACGCTTTGAGCTGACGACTATACCGACGTCTATGGAGCAAGTATACATAAATCGGTGGAATAAGAGAGCAGACACCATACCCTTAATTATTAGGTACATGCTTAGAAGGGTTATTGATTGTTGTAGTTAATCATTTGAAGTTTACAGCTTAAATATATCTTTCATAACATTTATCAGTTTCACGAAACATCCCAATTAGGATTAATTGCCTTTTTTCAATTTCCTCTGATACTTTAGTTTAGTTAAAGGGACCTTTTTAACTTAAGCTGTGAAGCGTTCTAAAAACCTGTGTCAGTGTATATTGATTCCTCTGAGCAGTATGTTTTCAGCGCTAACTAAACATGACAAGTAGGCAGATATACATCTCGTTATCAACATTGCCTAAAGGTTTTTAATCAAGATGCTGATGTAGGCTGTGCAAAAATAATAGCAAACTATCGGTTGATGATCTCGGGATATACAGTAGAACATCGATAGAATAAGGGTTCAGACATTGTTCTTGTCGAAAATTCTACACCAAGAATAGAAAGTCTTTATCAAATGTTTTACATTTCTACATATTTATCTACTATCATTTACCTATTTACATACAGTACAATATATCAGAGAGTTTGAAAAGAAAAACAAGTAAAGTAATTGTTATTAGAGGGCGTTTAGTTAAAGATTCATAACAAAATAACACAAACACCAAATTACACTGTAGACATGGAGAATTTCTGGCCGCAGTTATGATTCACGAAATACTACAAATTCACAGATTATATAAAGGCCCCCCCCCCCCCCCCCCCATTTTTTCGGTGACTGACAGACTAAAACTAACCGCCGAAATTTAAACTGGCATGTAAGTGACCCAGTGGTAACACTGCCATTCTCGGTTTCTCTATGTAAACCCACCAATAGAGTTAACTAGGTGTGATTTCTACAATACACGAGCCCATATATTATAATTAGTATTATTAACCATATTTAAAACACCCGTCCCCGGTTTATTCTGGGGACAAAAATAGCTCGAACTGGTATACAGTAAAGAACTGACCATTCAGGTTTACATGAGATGGTCTACCATTGCCTACCCTGTGGTACCACAGTGTAGGTGTACTTCCCATATATGAGCTGATATATGCTAAAGAAATCTCAACCTGATTATTATCAATTGGGTACTTCTGTTTATTTAATGGAATGTGTGAGTGCTGTAAGACTTTATAGTTTAAAATCTCTGTATTTTAGGTGTTCCCTGTATAAATACATGTCTCATAAAGCTTGAGTGTTTAAACTTCTGTTTTCTAAATATTTTTCTTTAAAAATCGTTTTCTCAGCAATATGAAATCTTCACATTTGTTAATTGTCAGCGAGATATTTGGTGAATGTACTCTTGTCCGGTTTAAGCGTTTTATATTAATTTTTAATATATTAACAAATGTGAAGATTTCATATTGCTCAAAAAACGATTTTTAAAGAAAAATATTTAGAAAACAGGAGTTTAAACACATCATTAAACGTTAACGTATCTAAATAGCACTGTACTGGCGATTATATAATATCTATTAAAGGACACTCGACGTTAATAAGCTTCCTATCAAGTGTCTGTTTTTGGATTCATCTTAAGAGTGTTAGAACTTATAAAACCTTTAGATTAACATTTCAGACACATCAGAATATCATAACATTTCCAAAAAGCGGAACAAAAACTGCAAGACCTGCTGTATACTCGTTATTACACTTTCCTGATTAACAGTGTATTCTAAACACAATAATTTTAAAACTTTCACTAGCATATATATAATATCGAGAGTGTTCTACAAAAAAAGGAATAATTGACCAATATACGACAGTGTACAATAAAGAGAATCGACATATC